TTCGTTGGATTAACCTGATATTCATCGCGTTGTACGCCATCCCAAAGCCGGAAATCGGGCCTGTTCGTCGTATAATTGCCGCCAGTTGTAATTGAAATCCGTCTAGGGCCGGCCGTTGTCCACCTCATTGCAGAAGGCTGCGCTCTCTCTAATCGTTGCATTTGCACGATGATCATCGGCTCGTGACTCCTTTCGTGGTCACACATGTCTGACCATCAGCCTGTGCTCCGGACAGACGCTGAAGCAGCGTTTGTTGGACACGTCCAACGTGGCCTTGATCTTTCTGCCAATTGGCCAGAAGCACTGAATAGCGTTATTTTGGCTGAGCCCGAACCAAACATTAGCTGTGCTGTGTTGCCTCTTGCCTCATTGGTCGTCATCGTCATCGTCGCGGCAAAGGCCAGGCCGTTGAGCTTGGCCAGTCGCCACCGCAACAGTGACGGTCACACACACGCATCTGTCGAATGCGTCATTCTTAACGGCAAGCTTCAATTTTCCAATTAGCTGCACTTGCGTGCCAACATCTCGCGATATGTCGCGATAAACGAAAACGAGCGCATACCGTACACGCCTGAACTACAGTAACGATACTGTGAAGTGCAATTATCAGTCAGCAGTAGCACAAAGTGCTGCTACCGCGAAAGGCATGTCATATATGTTAAGCATTATTCATTGGTCATCGCGTGGATATGTGCTCTGACACTGTCATGAGACTAGTTACCATATAGGGACATGAGATTAAACTTCGACAATTCTACAAGCAGGCTTGTGCTATGAATCTACAGCCACAGAAAAATGTAAGTTGCCCACAGAATCATGCTTTAGCATACTGATATCAGACAAATGAATCAAGAAAACTCTACATTGGTTTACGTCCTCCGTTTGTAGTGCAAAAACGCAATGTGTCAAACATCATCAATCAAAGTTGGTCTCCTTGTCTTGTTCTTTCGCATTGCATCTAAAATAATATCGCATACATATTCCTTAATCACTCAGTATTTTTTGAGTGAGTCACTGACCCAAAACGGAATGATCAGAACATCATTGACTGATTGAATGCTTTCGTGGTTCATTACTGTCTTTCATTACAACGGACAATGCGTGGTATCATATTTTTAGCTGCCATTCAATCTCTTGTTTCGCCTATTATCCTATTCCCTCGACAGTTAGTTGAGGCTTGATTTTGATGGACTTGCAAATTTAAGCCAATAAAAAAATGTAGCAATCAAATAAGCATATTTTCAATCTAAGTCTCTAGGAAATGACCTGGTTTCATTCGTAAATTCTCCAGCGGTTTTCCAATTTCATAAGCAGGCGCAGCCTTCCGGTATACTAGAGTACATCGTTAAAAATTCATTCATTCATTTTCAAAGTTCACCGCGTTGTGATGCTGTTGGCAGGACGCTTTCCCAATGATCTTGGCCTGATAAACAAACAAAATCGGTCATGTAGGTTTAAAGGAACAACAGTTCTATGTCTGGTTTACAGTTTTCCTTGTGGCTTCGTCAGAAAAGTCTGCACTGAAATTTTCGTCTGTGACATCCTTTGCATCTATCCATAGTATGCTTAAAAGTTGCTTACCTGCATTTCATATGCATCGCGTGAGTGAGGTAGATTATATCCTGTCCCACCTCTCAACAACTCTGTCAACATGATCAGCAGCTCTTCAGAATTGGTTTTCATTTTGCCGTGGTGTCTTGGGATCCCAATATCAGAATTCTCTGATTGAATGTAAAGCTACATTGATTGTGCAATTAGCGCAAGGCATGAAATGGTGATTAGCACCATCGATCCTTCAAGATTTCTTTCGTGACCGGTTCCGGAATTAATAGGGTTTCTTTCTTTTATCTTACGCAGCCTGGTCACACTACATTGAAAATAAAATAATCGTGCAGCCTGCTACAAAAGTTCATGTATGACAATAAAGCACAAAGTAATGACCTTTTGAAACGAAACACAAAAAACAACACCTACGTAAAAGATCACATACAAATTATTAGTCAAAAATCTGAACGCTTAATGAGTCATTGTTTTTTTATTTTTGGATGATCATCATTTGCACTAAAAGATTAAGATAAACAGGTGAATTTATGCACAAAATCTGATATCATGCTTGTCTTGAGGCATCAACAGATATGTCTGGATCATATGAATCACAGGTAGAAATAAGTTTTAGTTAACTATTGTATTGCAGCCACAAATTGCACTTCAAAGTTTTGGTATTATATCAGGCAATGGATTTAGTCAATTTGCCTGAACTGTCAGTTTTCTAAATACAGCATTGTGTGCATACCTTGTAAATAGAGAGAACTTATGATAACTGGGTAAAACTAAATTATTACATAGTGTAGAAACATTTATACCATGTTGGAGAAGCCACCACAGGTGCCAAATTATTAACTTCCGAAATGAGGGATGTTATGTAGTTTTAAACGAATATTTAATACAGCGTAACTTAATGATGCACACTGATTCATTTATCAAGTTAAATGACCGTGAACTACGCTAGTAATTTCAACCCTGCCATATATTCCCAAAAACGTTGGCTTAAGCGGTTGGACGATTCGCAAATTGGAAGTTTTACCAAGAATCTCATTTACATTGGATGCATAAATCTCTGTCGATTTAATAAACATAGCTTCGACAATAAACAACCATTTTAATGAATACAACATCTACAATATCGATTATGATGCGCATTCCACAAGAATATGGGCCTATGCTTGCTGGCAGATGACATAAATTTAGTTCCAGGGGTGATGGGGGGGGGGTTAAACCATGCATTTTCTGTGACATTAAACAAACAGCTATTAGACCATGGCATTACGCTGTTCCTTGTTCTATCCCAACTGTGTGCAAATCAATGTTTTTAACGTATTGTATACGTTTCTCTCCTGGCTTGACAGAGGCAAAATGGAGAGAAATACTTACTCAATAGAATTAGCAATAAAGGGATGTTTTTGGGTTCGAATCTGACAACGCTGAAGTTCCAAACTGGCAGCTTACCTTTGCGCCCACTTCTCACATTCGTTGGCCATCCATTTTAACACTGTCAACGCCCTTTTTATGATAATGACCTCCTGATTTGCATGTGATCTCGTTATGCGCTCTGCAAGGCATGGCTTTAAATTCGCTCAAATCACGAGTCTGCCTTTTGAGTACAATAAAATGTTAGATAAACCCCACCAGCATGCTGGTAGTAAGGTTATGAAACCAAATAAACTCTTGACATTGTTTCATTTTCAGAATGAGTAACAATAAAAACTCATCATTAAGACGAGAGTAATACAGTGAGTGACATCAAATGATTCAGCTACTTTGCAGAAAGTCAATTCTCAAGTTAGAAACTCCTTCATTAGCAATGCACGACAACAGCCGTCAACACGTGATCAGCGGTAGTACTATAACACTCCAATTAACTCTACAAGTTTATATAGTACAAGAGTTCCGCTTTCTCCACCGTTAGTAAGGCATGGTCAGTCAAGGTGTTTTGGTAGTCGTAATTTCTACGTGACACGTGACACCCTGTCGAAATATTGGCAGCGACAGATTTGTTCAAGATCATAAAACTGTAAGCTTTCGAAATGGTCAAACGTCACTGCATGTTGAAGTAATGGTCTTAATGTCTATTGAGCGTGGCTAACGATTGCCGCATTTATCCCGTTGGGAGTACTGTAAAGTGTCCAATCTCTATTCTCTGGAGTAAGAATGATGTCTTGATCAAATTCCTACGCGTAATATGTACAAATGGTCTCAGGAGCTCGTTTTTCAGATCACTTTACTTATGAAAGTCATTTAGCGGTTAATCAATAGTTGTAGCCCGATGAAATACTCAGGTTTTCCTGGTATTTTTGTCACGATTAAAAGAGCAGATTAACTCTGTGAATGCTGCATTCATTTGAATATGGAATTCTTCATTTTATGACACAGTCGTATCTCTTAAGAAAAGATGTATTCACTTCCTGTCCAATTTACTCAGACTCATTCGTCCTGTTGGAGTCGGTTAATGGTGCGAAACTAAGAGACGCGCCCATGCTTTGTTTCCACTTTACAACGAACAGCAGAATGGCATAAACAACGAAGGATTTCAAGATCTGATAGAGTTGCTGGAAAGGGGGACACGCCATGTTCACATAAGGTCATCGCTGGCAAAATTGCAATTGTTGCTTGACACATAACTGCCATGAGGTCTACTTCTTCAGGGCTGATTTGATTATTCAGTAACGAACTGCCTTATTCGAAAAATGAGTGTTAGCAATTTGGTTGAGAAATGGAAACGAAATCAGGTTTCTCTATTACTTTATGCCATGAAAGACATGCGCTTCTACCAACCAGACATATGATTCAGACAGTAGATGCTAGACTGGAAGTCGAAAAACTAGATGCGCTAGAATTCTGGTTGGTCAGGTTCCTTGACTTTTGACTTGAGAGGATAAAGCAATAGGTCACAGATTAAGTAGGTCACAAAAACTTTGGATATTGTCTCCAAATATTATGCCCTCGCCCCCTTTGTTGATGACATGTCGACAGAGTCTAGCTCTACATCACAAGCTCCATGAAAGAACGAGTGATGGCAATCTCGTAACGACTTAGCTCTCAACATTAGAAACTTTTCTTTTCCTATCCGACGAGCTATACGAGCTTATCATGTATTGATGGTAAGCGGTTACTGGATAATGAAATGATTGCATATAATATAGATTTAACACAAGCTAAAATCAGTACCAATCTAAGACGTTCATCTCTGGAGAATACCTCAGTAGCACACATTAGTCAGTGCATTCCATTATAAGCGATACAGTAACTGACAGCTGAAAAAAGAGCTAGGGTCAGTTTAAGAACATGCAAACACAGGTGAGCTTGTGTTGGATAAAAGGTATGATTTTTGGTCGAATGGAAGATGAACGTTCAACTGACCCAAAGGCACTACTGGAGCGGCTGATTTTTCAAGTCATTCGTGCTTCATATTTTTTTCACCTGATTGAGCATATACAACAGTACTTTAATATGACCAAATATCGATGGTCAGCAGCGAAATTCAGCCGAAGCAGGCGGTCATTAAAAATGCACTAGCAACAAACCACAGCATCAGCCATTACCGTCATCGGTTCGGTGGTGCTCAGCTGACACACCAGCAGCCAGCAGCTGCACAATCGACAAAGCCGTAGGAACGGGTTGGCTGGGTGGAGGCCGTCCTACCGACTCACCGTCCAATTTGGTGGTAGATGAGTAGATGAGCCGGTCGCTGAGGAGCTTCACGGCCAATATCTGTTTCTGTTCGGCGGCAAGATTTACGAGCGCATCCGGATAATCGTAATTAATCGTTAATTATCTGTGCAAGTTTTGCGTGGATTTAATTTAAATGCTGTTTTTAGACCCAAGCCGATGTGTGATGGCAATTAGCAGAGCTAAGCGCTGAAATGAAACAGTTATCGATTCGTATTCACCGTCATTGTTCGGTGTTAAATGGCGCCGCGGCCGCCCATTGGTGGATCGGTTACTGATCGACGACTGGCCGGCAACGCCGCAGTTTTGTGCAACTCGAAATTAGACGCTCCAAAGGCTACGTTTCTCATTTTCGTTCGGTCAATCAACGCACGGTTCGGGCTGGATTTCATGCAAATATTTTGTCTTTTATATAAATGCAATTGCCTCCTTTTCAAGGCTTTGTTCACGGATGATTAGCACCGCAATTGACACGCGAAATTCATGTTCTACACAACACACGTGAATCAGCCAAATTGGTCGGTTCCTGTTCAAATCGGCCATCGCATCAATGGCTAACTCGAAAGTACGGCGAGGGACGCCCTATTTTTCCGAAAATCAACATGTCCACCGCTCTGCCTCCCCGCCGCCCGCCTGCCCGCCTGCCAGCCCGCCAGCCCGCCCTCCCGCTCATTCATCCGCTACCGTAATCTGTGAGCATGTAGCCACCATTGCCAATTTTAACGGTGTAGCAGATTTTTAGCGTTGGTCGAAAGGGGAGGAAGACCGGAGGCGGCTTTTCACCAAGGGTAGTTTGAGTACCAGACGGCAGAGTGCGAGACTGGCAGTCGAATGTTCGCGGAGAGGAACTAGACTCTTGCCTTTCTGATGCAGGTAGACAAGTATTCAACTTCGTACACTCATATGCTATAACTTACACATAACGTGGATGACTTCAAACCGATACAACATGTGACATCATCGTCAGCATCACGAGAAAAAACAAATAATTCATTCCCTGATAATGGACAGAACATCTGATTAAGATTAAATGCATAATCAGTTGCAATCAGAAGAAATATTTGTGCATAAACGCGTATTATTCTTGGGAAGAAAGCAAGAGACCATCGATGCACTGGCCCTGAAATCTTTAAGCGCTGTCATCTATAGACAAGGAGACATTCGTCGATGATGGCATGCGTTGTCACAAAAATCAGCTCGTACACTAGCTGCACAAAAACTGTGCGACACAAGTCATGGAAATGTACTGAAGTCGCAGCGGTTGCAAACCTCCCTTCCTTGGTGATCACTGAGGAGTGATCGTTCCAGCAGTTCTTAAATACAAAACAAGACCAGATATACCTTGTTCTTTTTCTTTTTCTTCTTCTTCTTCTTCTAATTCCATGCTGTTTCATGGAATTTCAATTTGGTGCACAATGCTTTCTTTGGGAAAGATTTAGGTGCAATAGTGACATCTGGAAGAGCCTTGGAATACAACCTTTGCCTCTTCAGATTGAGATGTCACTGCTGCGATGGCTTGGGCATGTGTTGCGAATGCCTCCAGAAAGGAAGGCTAAGCAACGGTTCCTTGCCAATCCGACCGGCAAAAGGCCCAGGGGACGGTCAAGATTAACTTGGTGCAAACATATGGAAGGAATCTGTTCCAGGCTCCATTTGTCTTTTGCCGAAGCTCAGACTATGGCACAGGATCGGGAACGTTGGAAGCACTGTCTGACGCGTCTGCGTCCGCGACCCGAAAGGGGAAGCGACGATGGAAGATGACGAAGATGAAAATTTAGGTGCTAAGTGTATCCAATGAAATGATTATATAATTCAAGTTCAGAGGAAGCAACTTCAGGCATGGCTTCAATCATCTTTCACGACTGTCCTAGGATTCAGAGGTCAGAATAGTCGTTATTTCCGCTGATTTATGGATATCGTTCCTCAAGCGTCTCATGCAGCTCCCCTCGATTATGCCCCAAAATCGTCATCCTATTTTAAGACGTTTTAAAGTACAACGAAAGGATATCGTCACTCTTTCTTCAGCTCTAACCATGCAAAATGCTTGATCTTTCCATAAGAGCCCGCAGTCATGGTATAACTGCTTTAGCTATTTATTCTCTTAGCTAGCTGCTCTCTATGGAATGACTGCATTCTCGTCAGAGCGTTGTCTACTCAATCGATGTAGCAGCTGGATGTAGGACGCTAAGCTTATTAGACCTCCTGGTTGAATACAGAATGCTCATTCCACCGTTCATTACTTGTGTGGTAACTGAAACACAATGGACATTAACCAGAGGCCAGTTTGTAACACTGATGAACAGGTTAAGTCAGAGGGTAAATTTTTTTTCACACATGCATTAACATATGAATTATAACAAAATTGCTGAATATTTAAAAATGCAATAAAATTGCAGCCCAGAGATGTGGTGTAAACGCAATGCTCACGCTGTTGATCACAGCAGACAAGAAGCACTTTCCATTCTGTCGGTTAATCTGATTTTTCTGCGACATGCGGTAAATCCTTTTAGGCGTCGTTCGCATAAATAGAACATTTCTGGTTTGTGATATCCGCTGTATTTGCAGCTTAATTTGTAGTTTCACGTATGTGTCGCACTTTATTCCAGTGTCGATCCTCCACTTTCTCTCGTTGGACCAGAATTCACCGTCAATGCAAGAAACGCTAGTCTTTCACTTCATAAAATTAATTCAATGCAAAGTAGTTCGAATGTATATTTATTCATGGAATGCCTTCATTTCTTCAGCTTCTTTGCAGACGTCTGCGAATCCCTCGGGAACTTGCATATTTCCTCGAATTTTAAACTCAAGAGACTTCTCCATCGTTACGGTAAGGACACGCGGCTCACAATATTTTATGAAATATTTTATATTAATAAAAGCCTGTGCTGTTAGCATCAGACGAAGCCTACTAAAATATGACCATCTGCATTGGTGGAATGCACCAGCTTTGTGATTTCCGCTGCGATTGCAACTTTTTGTAACGCTTTTACTGTAAGACACGTCTAAGTGGAACAGTATTTGTCTGAACGCAAATCAGATTCTACGTTGTTCATTGACGCCGCATGCAGGACTCCTAGTCAACAGCTGTGTTATGCTATTTCCTACTTGAATAGCTCCTAGGCCCAAGTGAATAGATTATGCTCAACCAGTACCTCTGATAGTAATGACCTCCTTTCTCTAACCTCTATGCGTAGTACACACCTCGCTTAAACGTAATTAGCGTCATTAGGCACACAGTTTCTATTTCATCATTCTTAGTATCAATGCCTATTTTGCAGTGCTCAATCAATATCCTTGGCCTTTTTCTAAAGCTCATGGTCTCGATGCAGTATATGAATACAGTCTGAGTGAGACAACGTACAGGGCACTTTGTGAACAAAAAGATACTTCTTTCTCAATCTAAACATTGGGCTAGTTACCCAAGAAGTTCTAATAACAGGTTATTATCATACTTAACTATATATGGGTTTATGCCAACGATGGAGATGATGGAGTCGACAATTTTATGTAAGACAACTCTGTTCATCGTTTCTCTCCTTGCTCAACGTGCAAACAATTTCTTCATGACCTCTGACCTCCGCGCTCTCAGAAATGAACCGCCGTTCGCAGCTAGCTGTCTTTCATTCATCAGTCGTCAAATGATAACGTCTGTTCCCCCTACTACTCCCACAAGACATCATCGACGTACTCCAGATCAGCATGACATCTGGCCGAATATACTGAACTGCGCCCTTCCTCTAAAATGAACCCCTGCCTTGCTCAGGATCTGCATCGATTCGGGTAAGAAAGTCGTTCAAGATGTTAAATGGCAAGGGCTTATTCAACAGTGAACCGGTCGAATTCTGAACTAATCCTCCACTTAGGCAGCTGCCCTTCGATTTCATGGCAGACTTGGTGCCAGGATGCATTTTTTCTAAATTAGAATGGACGGCTGCCTCCGCGACCCAAAAGAAGAAACGCACATAGAAGATGAAGATGAAGAAGATAGAATAGATATGATAAGTTATTTCTCATATTATTCAAAGATGAATATTAAATAGCTTAAAGTGCAGCTTTAAAATTAATGGAATTAGCTTGTGCAAGGTATTTGACTCGCTGGTTGAGAGGTACTCTAAACTGAACGCAGGCTCCCCAAAAAGAATGCTTTCACTTTCGATGTTGGCCTCAACAAAGTACGGTTTCGTGGTTGCGTTTCATATAAACATTTAACAAGAGGGCTATATTACGCTTCTGCTCATGTTTCCATCTTACAATGAAAATTGTCGCTTTTGCACAGCAGATGAGACGTATGTAAGTGTTTGGCAAATAGTACCTCCGGGTTCGTTATAAATAACAAGCCTTTTCAATGTGTTTATACACCATGTTGAGTTTACAGCGGTTTAGCAAAAGGTGTAACGTAAAGTAAATTACAAATGTCCTATAAATTTTTCATAAAGCATATATGTGAACTACTTGCCTTGCCATCTTGTACATTTCGACTGATATCGTGACAATGAGTAATGAGGAAATTGAGAGCTGTCATTTAAATCTTTTCTCCAACTCACTCTGTGGTTGATCAGTGTTTCAGGGCGTCAGTGACTCCAGATTTTCTTGATGTACTCGTGACTCCATTTGGAGGGCACGGCGTATGATAGCATAAGTGATCAGCGGCATTACACCGGATTCCACAAATTGTTAAGTGATGTTTCATAGACTTTGGCGCAAATCAAAAGCTTATTCACCAGCAACGTTTTTTAAAGACACTGATAATGCTGGAATTTTAACTCTGAGGACAAATGATGCCAAAATATTTTGTCTGTTTTGTCTGATGCAAGCTCTCATCCCTCACTGAGGAATTTTGCTGCAGAAAGATGACTGTTCAAATCGTTAAGAGCCTGAATAATTGGAATGATAACTAGTTCGTTTGCAGCTTTAGTGCCTCTTATCCCCTTCTTTGCGCTAATGCAAGTTGGTATAGATGTTGAAAAGTAAAAGTCACGGAACTGAACCCCTAAGAACTCCGAGATTAGTTTAAGGAGGTGTTGTTGTCTGTCAGAGTAGCACATTCAGTACTTTCTGATTTATAGTCGCGTGATCATCAGAAATTCACTAACTCTAAGGGTAGTTTTGAGAGTACAATAGTGCCTATACCAAAAAATTCAAAAAATTTAAAAAGTTTGGGCATATTTCTTCACTAGAAGCAGATTTATGGACGTTCATAGGCAGTCAACAGCGTTTCTGGAATGAGGAGACATCGTACCTATGCTTGAAGAATGAAGCACAATAAAGCTTCTTACCTTCTGAACAGAAACAACTTTTAAATTGTTGCGAAACAATCACCGGATTTATTACATTCAAGAGGGTTCAGCATTGCCACTTTGAAACCGCTGTCAAGAAAGACTCTTCTTTTAAGGTTAGTCGGTTGGTCATCCTGTCAACAATTAAGAATGTGTAGGAAGCCATTAATGCTTTGTGGACTGCTGAGGTGATAGCGTTAGAAAGCATCTCCAACAACATCGTTCCCAACATCCACCCTGAGCCAACAACTGAGTTTCGGCAGAGGATAACCCAAGTCTGGAGTGCTGTCTGTCTAGGCACTTGCTCCAGGCAATTCTTGGTGCTATCGGTTGAGCAGCAAGTAGCTGTTTTGTCTTCATTTCTGAAAGAATTCATAAGACTTGACCAAGCCATCACAGCTGTAACTCTTGAATCTGGAGAAGTAGCGACCGTACACGAAGTCTTTCTGGGAAAACTGAATTCTGGACTCTGTCGAGACGCACGTACCCGATGATTCGTATCAGAATATAATTCGATGTAATGACTTTTTAAAAATGTTTAGAAACTTATGTTCAGGATGATAACTGAGCAGGTCATAACCTCCTTTCGAACCTGATCCCCTGAGCATCACAGCGACGATCCACTTACGCGACTCGTAGATTGATTAGCATTTAATAAGTAGTAGGCAGCAGTACAAATGATTGACCAATTCATAGCTAAATTTGATTTAATTAAGCCCATTAGTAGGGAAGCTGACAGAACATTTATTAAAGCGATCGACGTCATGCAGAATACGTCCAAGTACAGACAATGACATGAACTACAGATCGATTCGAAAGTGGTTCAGTGTTGATGGAAGATTTCTAGAGCCACTGTTCATCACTCTGCGGCGTAGATGGAAATGTATATATCTTTATGCGGCTTCAAAGAGATCGTTCGCAAAATATCTGACTTGTGCTTCATCTTTCTCGATCCGACAAAGTCGACGGACTTATAGATCTGTCATTTGTGTCTCCCAGTTGACTACGGGTGTTTATTTTTTAGTTATGTTCACCGTCCTTTGATCTATAGCGACGACATTTTTGGTTCAATAGAGCCGAATGGATATCTAATGACCGATGAGGCTAGCGAATTGGAAAGCTCTGATTCCGGCCGGAATGAAAGTGAACAGAAACAGTGGGTCGTAAAAGCCAACACCTTAGGGAAAATCGTGGATTTGTACCAGAAGTATAATTTGAAGAAGATTACTTCCTTTCCTGCTAACGATAACTACGTATTGAAGTGACACTGGAACAAATTATATTACGACACTTTGGCAATAAACAGTTAAATGAACGGCATTAATTAATTACATCATAATATGCATTTGATTGGAGAAAATATTGCCATGCGTTGCAGCATCAACCATCAAATGACATTAAATTCAATTTTACAGATGAATCAGTTTCTCAGCGTCTGCGCTGTTAATTTAAAAAGTGAGCGAATTGTTTGAATCTTCAACTGAGCCTAAAGTAACGTTAAAACTGTGGTGCTTCGTTCTGGCTGACAAAGTGATGTGAGACATATCTATGTACTGCAACTACTCAAGTACCATGGAGTAACTACTTTCTGATGTAGCCTCTGAGCAAGGAGTAGTGAAAAATGATGCAGCACGTCATGAAATTCAGATTTTGAACCATTGCAAAGCCAGTGAATGACCTCATGGACTCTGTTTCGCGTAAGCCATTCCCACGCGTTAGTAACTGCCCTTTTGGTTCTGCTGTAATCTTTCAGAAAATAATATTCCAGTGGTTCGTGGACAGCAACTTTCAACCGCTATTGATGTGAATTTGCTTATGATATTGGGCCATAGTCTCCTCTCAGAGGTCGAATGATTAGTTGAGTCCTCTTTTCTGTCTAAGCGTGTCCCTTGTCCACACAAGTAGAAATTACTCTCATCGGTTTGGCCTGTTTCTGTGGCCAGTTTCATGGAAAGAAGAGCTTTCAACGGTTGCGATACAAAAGTTGGCGTCATGGAGAAGAAGAAATATGAAGATGATCTGCGTTACCAATGAAGCCACGTAACAAAAAATGGCGAAGGTATTTTTATGCCAGAATATTGTTTATTGCTGCAATCTAGAGTCAAACGTTTTTGACATTCTTCACGTTCCCACTGGAATCATTTGCAGCATACGACGGTTGTGAACAGACTTTCCAGAACTTTATGAACATCTTGAAACTGAACGCAACTCTTTGATTCTCCTCTATTTATAGTCTTAGTCGATTAAATTTTCATTTTCATAAACACATCTTGAGAAGTGAAGAAATTTTTAAATCCACAAAGATGTCTCGTCCTTGCTGATGGTTATTTTGAATTTTTATTGCTCATTCAACTTTGAAACTTGTCATTTAAGTGCGTGTCCACTGGGAGCCAGTCGTTCATTCTTCAAAGTGTTGGCTACCTCTACGCCAGCAGTTCATAAACCAAGTCACGAACCATTCTAGTGCACAGAAAGTCAACGATTAATTTTTGGGATCAAAGAGAAAAGTTCAGCAGCGTGCCCTGTTGATATGCTGTATTTAATCAGCAGTTTTCAAACAGAATCTACCGTCTCCTCAAAAATTGACAAATGACTAAATGGAACTTCACCGACCTTCTGATCAAGTCTTCACTCTTCTTAGAATTATTCAACGATGATAATTCTCAGCTGTTTTGATTTGTCACTTTTTCAAATTTAATTCTAAGTTTAATTTGATATCATGTAATGAAGTTGGAAGTTTAAAAATGTATGAGACACATGATCACATCATTTTCATTATGAAACAGATGTATGGAAGAACCTTGTAACAGTTGAAAGAGAACTTTCTGATTGGCTATCAATTAACTGTGGATTTCTCCAAGTGATATGCTTTTCAGCTTTTCTATTTAACATTATTCTCGACTTTCTTCTTCTCCAAAACAGTGCCAATCCTCGCAGAGGCGAAGGCCTTATTCTAGAGAGAAAATGCAGCGTAATAAATCTGACCAGATATACCGCTGACTTACAATGCTGAGAGGGTGCTGGCCAGGTGAATAGATTCAAGACCTGACCCTCTCAGCTGACAGCTTTCGCAAAATCTGGCCCTATTGTACCAAAGTCGAAAGTCATGAAGAACCCACACGACACAGCTGATTAGAACATGGGACAGGGAGGCGAAGTGCTTCAAGATCTAGAGCCATTTACGCACCTCGACTGCATCATTGCCACAGATCAGTCAGAGTTAAACAAGATAATCGCCCTCGTTTCCAGTGAGTCTGACAGCCTGTCCAACATTTGGGTAAACATTTGCGCAAATCTTTCCATAGAAGTCCGTCTGCACGTTGTTGTTGTTTGGCACAGAAATAGCTGCTTAACGGAGGACCAAGAGCTACGGTTGAGTTGCGCAGAGGAATGTTGGTTTTGATGCGAAATGAAGGCTAATTGGCAGGATTATATAATGAATGAGTTTATTCCCTTCCGGCCAGAGAAGAAGTAGAGATTAAGAAAAGTAGATTGGGCCTATGAGACGCAAATATCTGAGCATAAATCATTTACTTTCCCCAGAGGCTACTCCCGAAGTATCAACTGGTCGTAATCGACCGGCATGGCGATTATAATAATAAATCGATAGAAACCACGGTATGAATGGAAAACGAACTATTTGCTCCTCTCGCTACTGGTGGTTTGTACGTTGGTCGAGTCTTTTTACTCCCCTACAGTAACGAAGCTGCCTGGTTGCGGCTTCGTAACAGTTTCAGCGGCGCTGAGAGGGCAATGTTTACCGCTTTGCGACGACAGTTGCAATTAGGGAGCGAATTCGATGCATAATTGCGGACAAGAGACTTCGATAATTCACTTATGGAACGCTTTAATCGACTTGGGGGAAGTGATGAATTTCCTATCCATCGCCAGCGCGACGCAATCATCCGGTTATCGGTCCAGATGCAATTTTCCTGCCTTCTTCTTTCGCAGAGTCGAGGTGACCACGGCGTTTAAGATCACCGAGCACTTGGTGAACGTGCTCTGATGGCTCAGCGATGGACCCCGAACATCAAGAAGCCGTTCTGGCACATATGACGTTGAACCAGTTCTAGGAAATCGAATAATTGCATTTGCTCCAGCAGCATTTCCAAATGTCAATGACCTCAATGTGCAATGGAAAAAATGTTTCGTCCACGGTGCCATAAGTTTCGGCATTATTATCATTAATACGACGTGACGGATGAGGACCATTGCAGAAACCTCCTGAAGTTACTGCAACATCCATCAGAGAAGAAACGCTGTTTGCTTAAAAATGATAAAATGGATTGATCATGGATAACACTAAAACGCAGCAATAGTTTGGTATGCCATGTCTTGCCCTCAGCCGCCATTCAGAAACCTGAGTATAATTATAAATGGTTAGAGCAATCAGTGAATCATTCAAACGATAATTGCTTGTTTAAAACTGTCCGCGTTCGGTCACAAATCAGCAACGTTGTCTCATAGAAAGAGAAGGAAAATTTTCAATTATTTTTTGACCCCAGTTACATATCCAGAGGGGGCCATTTTTGTACCTTTCTTTTCACGGCATGGCTAAATCTCTGTTTCTAAGCAGTTAGTTAGTGGTGTATTATTTTAAAGACAAATTTATACCCCAGAAGAAGTACAGTGTCTAATCTCTTGTTTCGAGTGATCCCATTGAAGTTAGTTCGAATCAGCCTATAGGAAAATCATTGAATCCATCCATCTATGTTTAGGTTAGCTACGCAGGAGGCCAGAAGCATAATCAGCCTCTAATATAAGGTTAAACCTCCTACACTAGTCTGAATAATCTAGTCATGACATGTCATAAGAAACAGCAGATGAATTGATAAATTTTCTGATTACCTCTGACCCTCGAGCGGAACATTGCAGAATGAAAGTTTAGTAAATTCTAATAGATCCTACTCATACATAGACAAATGGCTTGGATCTCAGGTTTCAGGCAGAAATGAATGGCAAATAACAAATGCACTAACTGTTCAGAAGGATTACAACATAGCGTACACATTTGGAAAAATTTGCCACGTCTTACAAATTGTGAAAGAAACTATTTTGCTAATGTTTTGTGACATGCCATGAAGTAATGTCAGGTTTTTTTTTCATTTTCTTGCTAAAATGATTTTTAAAGCAGATAAAACTTTCCACCTACTTTCTTTAGAAATTAATAAGAACGGGTGTAATGCGGCCATGCATTTGCAGTGTCGTGCAAAGTCGCATCGATTCGTTACGTGGTTGCGCAACAGTTAATGATCCTCTGTTCTCGATCAGTGGTTCAAAGCAAAAGCGAAAATATATATTATGTAAGTTACTTTGATCACTGACGCATTTGGGATGCTGCACACCAGCGTCATCATCAGGATTATATCGATATAACCATGATTTATAACCTATATGATTTAATATAGCCCTCGTTATGAGGCCGGATTACGGCCTCGAAATGATTCATTGAGTAAAGCAGTTTGCACTGTCCCCCAATAACTTGTAGCCTTCAACCATAGGTCGAAAAACGAGTATCATTTGCAGTGCCATTCCGTTAGGTTGTAACGGCATATAATCACACAATCTGCAATAACATTTTGTGTTTTAGCCAATGATCGCCGTTTCGCGATTGTGTTGCTAAGCATAGATTGTAGAGAACGATACTGGACAAATACTAAAATGCAGATGGCTCCCATACGTTGGAATCCACTGACTATAGAAGGTGGTACAGAAAGCGGTGCGGAGAGAGTACTACAGAAAGAGTCTTCACAAAATATATACTTCATCAATACTTCAGTTTCAATAAGTATAGTACGAAATAGGTAACTGCACTTCGTTGGAACTCGAAGTCCTTATTAACACGCTTGAAAAATGTACTTATGAACGAATTCCAAGAATAGTAGGTGAAGAAGGGAAAGTTGTCTATCGTAAGAAAGAGGGCGTTACCTGCAGCAAAGTCAACTAACCTCAATACCTTGAAAAGAATGATATTTACTTCAGAAGTAAATAATAATTTTTGTTACCAACTTCAGGTTCATATTGATATAGTCAACAATTTACGGTCTTCTGGCCAAATGCATCGGGAGTTGTTCATAGAGTTCTTCTCAGCACTGTGACTGGTTATTAATTTAACTTATTCATTTTGTTCTTCATCTCTTTCTTATTTTACTTCTTCTAGTTGATCCATGGCAAAGTGTTACGGACGATCATTAGTCATCGCCATGTGTCATTCGTGCACTGATGCGACCGACTACTTTATTTGCATGTTGTGATTTAATCGACC